CTCTCTCTCTCTCTCTCTCTCTCTCTCTCTCTCTCTCTCTCTCTCTCTCTCTCTCTCTCAGCGCATCTTTCTGGCTCAGCGCGCCGCCCCTCACAGTAGCGCACAAGTGCACCAGCACTTCCACACCTCATGTGAATGAGCAATCTGCCTAAATGAGGAGGCTGGCCAGTCCTTATATTGTATTGGACCGAACTCAACTCGTGCCAGCCTCTGCTTCTTGGGGCTTGACTTGGTTCCGGTACCACATCCCCACGGCCTGTCTGCTTTCAATGTTAGGGCCTGGTACCTTCCCAATTTTTCATTAGTTTGCTGCTGATTGGCCCTTTGAGTCACGACTTTTCAATTATGGTACATGGTTTTTGACTGTGGACTGTGACTCCTGCCTCGGGGACACGACTCTTGCCTGTGGAAGTGTCCTTTGCTCACGGGATGCGACTTTTCAACACGACTTTTCATGATGAGACGTGATTTCATACCTGAGATGTGACTGTTTGCCGGGTGTCTGTTGCACTTGACTGCTAAGGTGCCCGACTGGGACTTTTCTGAAACCGACCGACTCTGACCCTGAAACTCGAATTTGGGGTCTGAATCGTGGAAGGCCTTTCACTCTCGCCGGCCTAATTTCAATTATGTTAATTCCGGCCTAATTTGGAGGTCCTCCAAGAAAGCTACCAACTTAATCTGTCCATTATGTTAATTCCTGCCTTAGCTCTCTCATAATAGGACACAATAGGCGGTGCTGTTTCAATTAGTTCATCTCTTGTAAGCCAGCGATCTTCTGTAGGTCCCTGGTAGGCAAATCTAACCTTATATTGTCGTTGTGGTCTAACCCTGCGCCCAGATCTGTAAACATCTTCCCCAACAATCTTCTCCACATCATACTTACCATCCATATCAGGGGGAATCATAGATCTGTGTGAAGGAAACATGTCATTACTAACGCAAGGAAGTAACTTCGAAGCATGAAACACCGGATACGTGTGCAAGTGTGGAGGGATCTCTACAACATATGAAGGACCATCCACATCACCAATCACATCAAGAATCCGCCATGGTCCTCTATAGGCAGGCAACAACTTCTGGGAAATGTTCTCCTCAGGGAGAAACTTCTTTGACTTTACCCAGACCAAATCTCCTACGGCAAATTGCGAGGGTCTGTGGTGCTTGTTAGCTTGTTCTATCATTTGATGTTGTGCTTTGCTAATGTTCTCTTGAACTTTTTCCAGGTCTTTCTGATACTGAAAAGCGAATTCCCTGGTTCCTGGCGGGAGTCTCTGCACTTGATCAGGGTTTAGACAGTCAATGGGTCCACGAGGGTGCCACCCAAGATGCAGTTCAGTCGGTGTTCTAGATGTAGCTAGATGCACAGAATTGTTGTAGGCACTTGCAACCTTCGGCAGATGTTCGTCCCAGTCAATCTGATCTGGTCGAATGTACATGTGCAGTATTAACTGCAGCAGCTTGTTCATCTGCTCGGTCTGTACATTTGTCTCAGGGTGTCTACCTAAAGACATAGTCAATTTGGAACCACATACTTTCATTAGTTGCTGCCATTCCTCACCTGTGAACCGCGGCCCCTATCATTACAATAGTCAAGGGATGCCCAAAATCCTTTACCCGATGATTAAAGAATTCCCTAATTACTAAATCAGTTCTTGCTTCCCCAGGGAGTGGAACGAACACAACAAACTTGCTAAACCGATCTACTATCACCATAACCTGCCTTTTTCCATTTCTGCTCTTTATCTCAGTGTCCATAGAGTCTATAGACACGGAGTCCCCAGGTCCCAACGGAATCGGCAGAGGTCTAAGTAATCCAGGGGAGGCTGTGTGGAACTCTTGTTCCTCTGACAAACTTGACAGCCTTGCACGTAGGAAATGCAGCCGTGCTTCATTCATGGCCACGTGTAGGAGCGTAGGAGGTTAGCATAAGTCTTCCTCCATCCGAAATGGCCCTCAGTATCGTGATTTTCCCCAAGTTTCATGCTACAGATTTCCTCGTTGTTGGGGACGCATAGTCAATCATGGACGCCAGTCTTCTCAAACAACAATCCTTGCATCACCCTATAATCCGGGACTTCGTGTAGCGCTCTCTGCACCTTGCCAATTAGTTGGCTATAAACTGGATCGCTTGCGTAGGCAGACTTAATCTTTTCTTGCAGTTCGGTGCTTGCATCTAGATATGTAACGATAGCACCAAAAAGTCAGCTCTTTTACTTAATGCATCGGCGACGACATTGTAGTTCCCCTTTACTGGCTTCAACTCAAAGTCAAACTGATCAACTTCCCTAGCCCACCTAGTCATTTTAGGTGTCATACGAGGCCGGGTTTTCAGCCAGCGAAGTGTTTCATGATCTGAATAGACTTTAAAATGGCGTCCTAGCAGATAATGTCGCTAGTGATTCAACGCTTCCCGCAGACCGAACAACTCTCTTTCATAGGTAGAAGCGATGACCTTTTCACTAAGCAGTCTACAGGACATGAATTCCACAGGTTTGTACCCATGCCCATCGTCTTGCCCGAGTACAACACCGATCCCATATCGACTGGCGTCAGAGGGCAGAGATGGGTCTGCGACTTTCAACATCGGGTAATTAATTAAACATTTATTTAGACGCTTAAAGGACGCAGTGCAATTATGATCACATTTCCATATAGTTTCTTTCTTCAACAATCTGAGCAATGGGGAAGCAATTACTGTAAAGTTCCGAACGAACTTGTGGTAATAGTTGGCCAAACCTAGGAACGAACGTAGTTCCGTCAACGTGCCCAGGTTAGGCCAACCTCTAATGGTTGCAATCTTGGCGTCTTCCAATTTGATCCCATCACCATCTACCATATGTCCCAAGTAAAGAACCTGGCGCTTTGCCCACTCACACTTCTTCGGGTTAATCTTAAATTTTGCCCCTCGCAACTTTTTAAGCACAACTCGAAGGTGCTCTTCATGTTCACTCGTACTCCTACTGAAAATCAGTACGTCATCTAAATAAACAACAACAAACTTATCAAGCCAATCACGAAACAATTCATTCATACATCTCTGAAAGGTTTCAGGAGCATTCATCAGTCCAAACGGCATCACCACAAACTCATAGTGGTCGTACCAAGTCCGGAAAGCCGTTTTATGTTGATCCTCAGGCAACACCTCAATCTGATGGTAGCCTGATTTTAAATCTATTTTCAAAAAATATATGCAATCTTGTACTCGGTCTAAGAAATCATCTATCTTTGGTAATGGCTCAACATTTTTAACAGTTATTGCATTGAGTCCTTGTAATATATATGCACATACGCAGTTTGCCGCCCTTCTTTGGCACAAACAGGACCGGTGCACCGATGGTGAGGAACTTGGTCTAATCCA